ATGACGACCCCGGAGCCAAGGGGTTTGAGGCGGCATCGCCAAGAGCCCCCAGGAGGGAGGAAGGAGCCCAGGGCAGGACACTTTTGGCGTCCATGGGTGGACGGGTTTCGGAGGGAGTGGCCCCCCCCCCGCCCCCGACGCTCAGGGCCCTGGGCTGGGACCCGGAGAGAGGGTGGGACCAGGTCCCCCTCCCTCTCCTAAAGGAACATCTCGCTCCCAACGACCATAGCGAGGGGGAGATACAAGTCGGAACCCCACGAGGGGGAAAAACCCAGACTAGGGGCCTTTTGGCCCACCCTGCAGGGATGGGTAACTATTGTAGGGTTCGCTGACCCCCCCTTCCTCCCGGGAGGGGGTGATCGCACCCAAGATCGTGGGCCCCATAGCGGGGACCCGGGAGTCAACGAGGGACCAAGAGAGAACAAGAGGGTCCGCAGACCCCCCCCCTCGGGCTGAGAGGGGGTGATCGCACCCTGAACCCCTCACAGTCATGTTCTCTAGACCTTTAATCATTCTTGTTGCTCTTCTCTGGACCCTCTCCAATTTCTCCACATCCTTCTTGAAATGCCCAGAACCAGCACAGAGTAGAGCAGAAGAATGGCTTCTCATGTCTTGCTCACAACACACCTGTTAATGCATCCTAGAATCATGTTTGCTTTTTTTGCAACAGCATCACACTGCTGACTCATATTCAGCTTGTGGTCCACTATAACCCCTAGATCCCTTTTGATAACTACACTGAGTACGGCTATCCAGCCAGTTACGCACCCACCTTATAGTAGCCCCATCTAAGTTGTATTTGCTTAGTTTATTGATAAGAATATCATGTGAGATCAAATCAAATGCCTTACTAAAGTCTAAGTATACCACATCCACCGCTTCTCACTTATCCAAAAGACTCGTTATCCTATCAAAGAAAGCTATCGGATTGGTTTGACACGATTTGTTCTTTACAAATCCATGCTGGCTGTTCCCTATCACCTTGCCACCTTCCAAGTGTTCACAGATGATTTCCTTAATTACTTGTGCCGTTATCTTCCCTGGCACAGAAGTTAAAGTAACTTGTCTGTAGTTTCCTGGGTTGTTATTGCCCTTTTTATAAATGGGCACTAGATTTGCCCTTTCCAGTCTTCTGCAGCCTCTCCTGTTTCCCTACTCTATCAGCTCCTTGAGTATTCTAGGATGCATTTCATCAGGCCATGGCGACTTGCAGGCATCTAACTTTTCTAGGTGATTTTTAACTCGTTCTTTTTTTATTTTATCTTCTAAACCTCCCCCTTCCCACTAGCATTCACTATGTTAGGTATTCCTTCAGACTTCTCGGTGAAGACCGAAACAAAGAAGTCATTAAGCATCTCTGCCATTTCCAAGTTTCCTGTTACTGTTTCTCCCTTCTCACTGACCAGTGGGCCTATCCTGTCCTTTGTCTTCCTCTTGCTTCTAATGTATTTATAAAAAGTCTTCTAGTTTCCCTTTATTCCCGTAGCTAGTTTGAGCTCATTTTGTGCCTTTGCCTTTCTAATCTTGCCCCTGCATTCCTGTGTTGTTTACCTATCTTCATTCTTTGTAATTTGTCCTACTTTCCATTTTTTTATAGGACTCCTGTTTTACCGTATTTTCCGGCGTATAGGGCGACTGGGCGTATAAGACGACCCCCTATCTTTTTAATTAAAAGATAGGGTTTCATCTTATACCCCAGCGCCCCTCTGCCTCCTTTGCTCCCGGTGTCCCTGGTCTGCTAGAGATGGTCCCCAGCAGACCAGAGGCACCGGGAGCAAAGCCGCAGCAGCTTTCAAAGCCGCGGAGGGGCTCCGGCGGCGGGGCATCCCAGGCGCGCCTGGGATGTATACCCGGCGTACAAGACGACCCCCGATTTTTGGGGGATGTTTTTTAACATCAGAGGTCGTCTTGTACGCCGGAATATACGGTATTTTTAGATCATGCAAGACCTCATGGTTAAGCCAAGGTGGTCTTTTGCCTTATTTTCTATCTTTCTGACATGGCGGAATAGCTTGCTTTTGGGCCCTTAATAAAATCCCTTTGAAAAACTGCCAACTCTCCTCAGCTGTTTTTCCCCTCAATCTTGATTCCCATGGGACCTTACCTATCAGCTCTCTGAGCTTACCAAAATCCGCCTTCCTGAAATCCATTGTCTCTATTTTGCTGTTCTCTCTTCTACTCTACCTTAGAATTGTGTCCCAAGGTGTCTTCCACTTTCAAATTTTCAACCAGTTCCTCCCTATTTGTTAGGATCAAATCTAGAACAGCTTCCCCCCGGTAGCTTTTTCAGCCTTCTGAAATAAAAAGTTGTCTCTAATGCAGTCCAAGAACTTATTGGATAGTCTGTGCCCTGCTGTGTTAGTTTCCCAACATATATCTGGATAGCTGAAGTCCCCCATCACCACCAAATATTGGGCTTTGGATGATTTTGTTAGTTGTTTAAAAAAAGCCTCTTCCACTTCTTCCACCTGGGTAGGTGGCCTGTAGTAGACTCCTAGCATGAAATCACCCTTGTTTTTAATCCCTTTTAGCCTAACCCAGAGACTCTCAACACTTCCGTCTCCTATGTCCATCTTCACCTCACTCCAACTGTGTTCATTTTTAATATATAAAGGCAACACCTCCTCTTTTTTCCCCTATCATTCCTGAGCAAGCTGTAACCTTCTATACAAACATCCCAATCGTGTGTATTATCCCACCAAGTTTGTGATGCCAACCACATCATAATTACACTTATTTATTAGCACTTCCAGTTCTTCCTGCTTATTACCCATACTGCTCGCATTTGTATATAGGCATCTAAGATACTGATTTGACCGTGCCTCCCAGTTTTGCCCTGACCCTCCTTTCTCTCTGCCATTATAGCCCACGCTCCCTCCTATTTCCAACCCATCTCCCAGGTCTCCATGTTCTCCACTTACCCATGGGCTTTGCTCATATGTCCCCGTTGAACCTAGTTTAAAGCCCTCCTCACTACATTAGCCAGTCTGTTTCCAGGTCTTTACAAAAGTTTCCTAAACTTTCAGAATCACTTACTAGAGAGGCAGCAAGCCTCAAGGCTCTTACTGCCTCTCATCTCTTGATCTCCAAGATCTGCTGAAATGTTTTGCTTGCCTGTGATTGAGAGGAGGCCAGGCTGTCCATCTACACATGGCAAGGACAGAAAGTTCATTTAAGTAAGTTAAAATGGACAGCGACCAATTCAAGAATCTGTGGGGAAGCAGAGGCCAAACAGATCTGCTTCTATGTTGTTTTAGAAATGTGATTGAATGTTATAAAATGAGTCAGACTTCAGCTATTAACTCACAGACCTTCAAACACAACAAACAAAAAAAACAAAATGTTAGCTGCATTACAATCTGCTCCTACCGAAGTGACAAGAAAAACTTAAGTGCAAAGCATCACCAAAGAAAGAAGTTGAACAGCGTTTTTAATCCCCGCTGGTAATCTAATTACATAATATAGGGTATCTGAAGTGCTTTCATGAGGTGACATATTTAATCAGGAGGCAGTCTTTTCTTTTACCAACCCATTTCTCCCCTTACACACTCATTTATATAATTTAATAACAACATTAAATCCATAAGTCTCCCATTTAAATACCATTTCTCTCTCTCTGAGAGAATCTTCCGTGTAAATTAGAATCTTGGAGATTCAGTTTTAATGGATATGAAGTAGATCTCAAAATGACATCTTAAAAGGAGCAATATGAAAAAGTAAAATCTGATTTTCCTTACAGAGAGAGTGTCAATTACTTATTTTCTCTTTCATTTTACTCCTAGAAGATCAAATCTAGTAACACTTTTTCTAAAGAGTAAGGAAAATTATGTAGCACTTTAAAGACTAACAAGATGACTTAATAGGTAATAATAGGCAATAACCATTTTGTTAGTCTTTAAAGTGTTACATAGTTTTTCCTTTTGTTTTAGCAAGCTCAGACTAACACAGCTACCTCTCTATTACTTTCTAAAGAGTTTCATTTATCTTTCTCAGTTCCATGCTTCAAACTTTGAGAGAGAGAGACAGACAGACTTTTTGTTTTTTAAAAACAGCACTTAATATTTCTAATTAAAACCAGTAGTTACGGGTCACCTGCTGACAGCTACCATAACAGACAAAAATAGGCAGTTATCAAGATATTTTTTTAAATGAATCCTTGAAGCTTTGGAGACTCAAACAGTAATATAGCCATTATACTGATGGGGAATTGGGAGTATAGGGAGGTTAAGTGACTTGTTGAAGGACAGGCATCAAGTCAATTTCATAGATAGGAATAGACAACCCATGAGTTTTGACTCCCTCCTATGCCTGCTGAAAAGCAGGGATCTGTAAATTGGGATTCTGCAATCACAAAATTCCTGATAAGGAAGCCATTTTCCTTTGTGCTTTACATTTGTCCTTGGGCCTACCTGGTGGTATGTTATAAATGATATTGATTATCATTTCAGAAAATGGTGGTGGTGCGCTGGCCTCTGAAAAGTCAATTTTCTTTAAGCATGTAAAGAGTTAGGCAACAGAAGTTGAGGCATCCAAATCCACTAGATAGTCATTTTTGAAAAACTGATGCCTTCACCAGCATGGTTTCAGATCAGATCAGGCAACAGCTTATAAAACTGAATTTCTGACTTAAATCATATATTTATCTCAATATGGAGGTATATTCAGCAAATTCTAGAGATATTTCAGCCTCTTTTTGATCAAAAGGAAAGGTTAGAAAACTTGGAAATGTTGTCAGTTACCAAGTTTGAAAATCACAGTTGGATCCTCAGAACTCTGGGATTAACAAGAGTGTAACAATGTGAAGGGGGTCTAACTAGGAAAGAGTCACCCAACTGCAGCATCTATTGGCTGATAAGCAGTGGCATCAATTAAGCTTCTTTCAGATCTCTCAACATAAGTATAGAGATTGTGAGGTTGACTATTAAGGGAAGACCACCTAGATGAGGTCAGACAAGACTGTACAAAGACACAGAGGTATTATCTAGAAGAATTACTCTTTCTCCAAAATTGCAGACCTTTATTTTGCCTCACAATCTCTCCATCAGGTAAAATAAAGCCCACGCTTACAGGATGTATGGCAACAGATAATGCTACTGGGCCACGCAAAATTAGATACCAAAATTAAAATAATTCTCAGTTTTAAAATGAAATTATATTCACACTAGCAAAAGAAAAATTAACAAATTAAGAACTGTAATGCCAGTGAAGTGAAATAACGTGTACCAAACTGATTAAAGAATCACTAAAATTAAAGATTTCTCTGCATTTGTTGCTGCTCAACTTGTACAATTAAATGGAGCTGTCTCTTCGCAATAGCAGTATTCAAATCCCATAAAAACTCCAGCAGCATGCCTTTCAAAAGCATTTCTATCGGAACAAACTGTAAAACCTGCTGAGGAGATTCTGAGTTGAGCAAAGAGCTCATTAGTTTATTCAGATGCTGCAGGTACTCAACAACTGGCTCCGGAAGACCTTGATAGCCAATACACAACAAAACTGCATTGGTCCCTAGAGGTTCAGAGGCTATGGGACATGCAAAAGAGATGTAGCTGAAACAGCCATTCAGTACAAAAATCAAGCCAGCTGTGAATCGTGTAAAACAAGAAAGAACAGGGAGAATCAAAGCATCTCCCAGTTGAAGTTGATTAAATGCACATAGGATACAGTCTAAAAGATGCTGCTGATATTTTGGCTCTCCATCATGAAGCAAAGAACAGCTGAAAGTCAAGAGTGTGGCTGATTCCAGAAGCCTAACTTCCATATTGCACTGGCTTTTGAGGTCACAAAGAGACGGAAAGCCTACCACAAGACACTTGATTTGGTCACTGCATCCTTCATTTGGTACCTTCTGATGGTACTTAGTAAGGCTGGACAACTGAGATAATATCAGTGCCTCAGTAAGAACACTGCAAGAATGACACCACTCATGTGTTCGTTTGGAGAAGGAACTAGCTCTTAGTCTGCCTACTAATGATTCTTTGATGGCTTCGTTGAGATTCTTCAAGACCTCACCATCACAGAATGGAGAGCATTTTACTCCTGGCAGCTTCCTTCCCTCCAGGATGTACCATAAATTGTATTCAAGGTTACAGGATGAGCCTTCCAAAATGCAGCTTTTCCCAGCATCACCTAAAGCATGCTCTTCAGCCCAATGGTTAAGATAGCCTTTGGCCACCTTCTCATCCCATGTGAGGGATTCCAGCATCTTTCTTTCATTGTATGAACTAAAATACTTGTTCTTCTGTCCAAACCATTTTGCATTTATGCTGCAGCCTACATGAGATTTCTTCACTAGCCAGTTATTTCTTGTAATGTGTTTCAGGTTGAATCTTTGCATAAAAAATTCCACTGTACAGTCCCTTAAGTTGTTCAGCTTTACTTGTTCTGCTTCCCCCATGCACTCAAAGAGTCGGATATTCTCCGATATAGTCTCTATTTGGTACTTGTGAAAGAACACACAGCATTCTTCATGTTTTTTAAGGAAAGATTCTGGAATCACATGTTCGGGAAAGAGGGCTTTGTTAACCATTTCTGTTCCAAAGTTCTGAATCATCTTGGACAGCAAAGGATGGATTGCCTCTCTGCCCATGTAATGAAGACAAACCACATAGACTTCTGAGTTCCCAGGTTTGCTAGTGGCAGGTTTAAAGACATGGACCTCCTCGAAGGAACAATTTAGCAGAAAAAGCAGATTGGCAGAACAATGTTCAAACAAAGTGAACATCTTTAAAACAAAGGAGCCACCATTGCTGAGGGTCATTAAAGCAGTGACTGTTTCACAGTAATGCAGAGGTGAGACAAGGGCTTCTTGTTCACCTGGATTTCCTTGGCAATCAAAACTCCCATCAGCAGTTACCAAGTGAACAGTGGACATATTACTTATGAAGTGCTGAAGTCCAGTTAGATGTTTCAGTGTCATCACATCCCCCGTATTATCTGGTCCAAAATACCACCATGGCAATGTATTTGCAATAAGTCGGTCATCCATAATCATCACAAGAGTGTCATTTGCTTCATGATACGGGTTGAGGGTATTGGCTACCCAGTTCCAATCACAAGGGATGTGATGGGATTTCAAGTAGTGATTGAGACTGGCTATAAAAGCACCAGGTGCTTCACAGAGATGAACAGTATTAAGTTCCCCATTCTGAAGAGCTTCTTTTGGGAGAAGGGGGAAACTGCACAGAATCTCATGGAACTTGCACCAAGCCTGAGTACACAGCTCAGCATTCACAGATCTCTTCACATGAGGAATGATTTTCCCTGCTTTATTGGTGAAGGAAGTGTGCTGATGCCATGCATCCAATTTTTTATCACTCAGTTGGTTTTTTACTTCATTCATGGAGTCCTTCAGAGCAAGGAGGGCACTGAATTCTTTGTGATTGCAGGTAAATATCTCACTGGAATCTGGCAGTTGCCATTCACTTTCTGGTGATTTTGTATATGAGAACTTCTTCTCAAAGAGCTTCTCAACTTCAGCAAGAATCACAGGGCTGAATTTTTCAAGATTTGTGGTCTGCACAACATAAGGCTTCATACATTTGTTCATTCTTGGACTGACCCACAATCTGGGGAGGAGGGGAAGAACAAGGAAAAGAAAAGAAAAAGGAGTTACATGAGCTGAACCAGTGACACCTTCCCAACCATAAGAAAATACACAAATTAAAAAAAAAACTACACAGAAAATACATTTGTACAGTTTAGGAAAAAAAATAGGTATTTCAACTTGTTTAGTGCTAGAGGTTGTGCTCCAGAATGAGAAGGGAAAAATACTCAGTATAAAAGTGAAATTTAAAGTTACACAGTTTTGGATTAAAACTTCCATTTTGACCCAATGTATATACTACTTCTGGAGGAATTCTGCACCACTGCGTTCCTTCTGCAGATTTCTTGGCTTCCCTACAGAAGCAAAGAAATCCGAGGGGCATACTCCTTTCTGAGCAGCCTGCTAGGTACAGTGACAGCAGAGAGCAGCTCACCATGAAGAGAGAGGAAGGAGGCTGGGTGTGGCTGTGTCCACCTGTGGAGAGACATTAAGGGTATGTCTAGACTACATGCCTCTGCCGACAGAGGCATGTAAAATAGGCTACCCGACAGTCAATGAAGCGGGGATCTAAATATCTCCGGCTTCATTAAAATAAAAATGGCTGCCATCCTGTGCCGGCTCAGCTGATCGTTGTTTCAAGAGGCATAAGGGAGTGGTCAACAAAGGCTTCCTTTGTAGACCGATCCATGTCTTGACTCATGCGCTGTGCCGACGATCAGCTGAGCCTGCACAGTGCAGTGGCCATTTTTATTTTAATGAAGCCGGGGATATTTAAATCCCTGCTTCATTGACTATGTCGGGTAGCCTATTTTACATGCCTCTGTCGGCATGCACACTTTCCTGCCTGTGCATAAAAGAGGAAGGGAGGAAAACATCAGAGCTTGGACATGTAAGGCTGTGTGAAGCTGGCTCTGTCCATGAGGCTGAGTAGAAACTTAACAACTAAGCCAGTAGGCTGCCAGTGTTCCCATTTGTTAGGCTATGTCTACAGTACAGACCTTTTGTGGAAAAACGGCCATTTTTCAACAAAAACGGCCATTTTTCAACAAAAACTCACGGAGCACCCACACTTCAAGCGCGTTTTTGCGCAAATAAAATGAAAGTTCAGAGAGGTTTTTGCACAATTAGTATTCCTCTTTCTATGAGGAAGAATGCCTTTTTGCGAAAGAGTTCTTTCGTAAAAAGGCGTGTGTGGATGGGGAAAAGGGATTTTTTTTGTGTGCAAAAAGACAAAAGAGGAAAAAGCACAGGTGCCTTGGTAGCCATTCTATTCATACCAATCAGTGCTTACATTCGAGAGAGTTTCCACGCAGTCTGGATGCTCTCTTTCACAAAAGTGCATCGCTTTTTTGATGTGCTTTTGCAGTGTGGACGTGCTCTTGTGCAAGAAGTTTTTGTGGAAGATCTCTTAATTAATTAAAGCTCCTTTAACTTTCTAGAGAGGTATAAAGGAATTTTATTTTATAAATGACAGTAATGCAATCGTGAGCTAGGAAGGTCAATGCGCTTTCTTCTTTTTTATCCTGTGCCAGAAAGACACAATGAGGTTAGATTACAACTCAGGCTGTATTTTACTTATCCACTTAAAAAATGCAAAAGTATTTGAAATTTAACTTTCAAGTGTTTAGGGAATGCAGAAAAGTTGTGATTTTTTTTTATTTAGGTTTTTTAGTAACGTATTTAAACTGAAAAAAGTGAAACTGACGTCATATTGCATTATTTTGACAAAATATGAAGAATTTTGCATTTTGAGACACAGAATTCCCCTAGGAGTAATATACATTTAGTCAGAAAATACACTGTCTTGTATTCCCCTCATGCTAACTAGCTAGTAAAAGTTATCTAGCTAATATAGAAAGGTAATATTTGGGGGGGGAGGGAAGATAGGGGAGAATTCATGTGGGGCATGGTTTTGAAGTTAAGGCACTAGGTTTAATAGAGATCAACCAAAAAAGGTTCAACATATACTTGTTTCACAGTCACCACAGACCTCCTATGATGGTCTGAAGCTGGATGTATAACTTCCAGCTCAGCAAGACATACTGGCATTACCCTGATTAAGTTACCACAATGTAAGTCAGAGTATAGATGCACAGCTAGGCTAGTCACTCGTATAATCTTGTCTGAAACCTTCAGGATATACTCCAGTTCCAGAGCATACATACACAAAGAGACTTAGAGGATGTCTGCAGTAAAGCTGTGAGAGGGCGTCATAATCTGGGTAGAAAGGTTCACACAAGCAAGCATGCTAAAAAGAGCAGTGTGGATTTAGCATCCCAGGCTTTCAAGATGACCTGACTCCCTGGTCTTTGCTTAGGTTGCTAGCCCCAATTTCTTCTGAAGCCACAAAGCCTACACTGCTATTTTTCCTGTGCTAGCACAAGCCCTACTAATGCAAGTCTTTCTAACCATGCTGGAAGTCTTGCTCCCAGGTGCAATGTGCCTTGGTAGCCGGATTTGTAAAATGGGGATAACGCTTTCCTACCTAATGGGAGGGCTCAGACTTAGATATACAGTGATAGGGGTCAAAGAAATCATGACAGCATGCAAAACAACACAGCTAGTGTGATCCCATAATCTAATAGGGTAGATACTGTCTGTCTGAGCCGGACATTATTTAAGCACATGAATAACCCCAACATTAATCTTAAAAACACAGAACAATGTCACTATAAAAACAGAATCAACCACCTTCCTTTCACAAACCATAAAGGTATGTAAAAGAAAGAATAGGCCTAAATGGATTGACAGTATCTCCTTTTGTTTGTGTGTTGCTGAGCAGCCTGTGAACATTAGGCATAAGAAAGTTTTCAGTGAGGTATAAAGAAGAAAAAAATACAGTTATGCGGAATTTACACATTTTACAGTTGTATAGTTTTTTTCAGACCTTGCTGATTTAAAAAAAAACCAAAACTAAAACATTAAGGCCTAGTTTATACCTAAAAATTAGGTTGATCTAACTAAATCACCTGAGGCTGTGAAAAACTTTCATCCCATGATGTAGGGCTGATGTAGCATGAAGCAGTGCCACAAGACAACTTTCCAGGAGAAAATAAAAATGGTCATACTAAGTGAAACCAATGGTCCATCTGGCCCCCTATCCTGACTTCTGACCGTTACTGATGCCCGATGCTTCAGAGGCAATGAACCAAACAAGGCATTTTTGATCCATTTTCTGTCATTCAGTCTCAAACTTCTGGCAGCCAAAGGCTTTGGGACATAAATAACCAAGTTGCACCCATGGCCTTCCTAGCTAATAACCATTGATGAACCTATACCCTATGAACATATCTAGTACTCTTTTTAACCAACTTGTGCTTTTGACTCTCTCAGCAATCTATGACAGGAGTTCCACAGGTTGTCTGTGTGTTTTGTGAAGCACTTCCTTCTGTTTCTTTAAACTGGCTGTGTATTAAATTCATTGGGTGAGCTCTTGTGTTTATCCTTGTAAAAACACTGCTTACTGAAAACAAAAATCAGTAATAACTGGCAAATCTTCAACTTCCAGCTCCAGGCTCAGCTTAGGCCCTGTCTGCACTGGCATGTTTTGTTGCCAAAACCTGCCTTTTAGCAACAAAACAGTGAATGTTTACACTGCAATGCTACTTTTTTGGGGAAAAACAACCAGTTTGACGACAACAAACTTCCAGCTCTGCAAGGAACTTTCTTCTTTTCCACTCTCTTTATTATGGGTAAAGAGCCAGTGTAGACTCTGCTGTTTCTTTTGTTGGAAGAAGTGTCTTGCACCAATATCTCACAATGGCTGCCCTGATGGCTGTGCTCGGTTTTGTGACCTCTGCTGCCTTGCAGGGATGTGTCCCTCCCCTTTCAAAGCTTCAGGAAGTATCTAATAGCTGAGCCAGCTGTTCTGTTTGGGGGGAAAAACAAATAATTGGAATTCTCCTGTTTTGCTAGGAACACAGCAGCAGGCAGACTGATGCTACAGGGGGAAGGCTGGAGATACTAAGGTGCTGTTTTGATCTTTCTTAGCACAGAGGGCTCGCAGACCTATGAGGGAATCCCAAGAAGCACAGCGATCAGCACTGCCTTCCTACAACACTGCTTTATGGGATGCTTATCCAGAGTGCTTTGCTCTGTCGAAAGTAGGGATGTTAGATATAGTGTAATTGAATAGTTGTATAACCACATGAAATCTAATCGGTTATACAACTATTTCATAATCCCTGGGGGTGGGGCCAGCAGCCAGTGCACTACTGTCCCTACTCCCGGGAGACCCTGCCATCCCGCGCTAATGCCTCCGTATCAGGAGGGCAAGCGGGAGCCAGTCCACGAGGGGAGCCAGTTTAAAAACCAAAGGCAACAGCGTGGGGTGGCACCAGCCCCTGTCCGTGAGGGTCCAAGGTCCCCATGGACAGTGGCTGCTGCTGGGAGGCAAGGAGGTGAGACTGATGAAAAGCTGTTCCCCCTTCCACAGAGCAGCCTCTGTCCGCA